CCTGCAATTTGCATTAGGCTCCGGGCACTGCAGTTGCTCACAGCTAACAAACCCAACACAGGCAATATTATGCATGTCGAAAGAATCAAAACTGAAAAGAACAAAGTGCATCTTTATCATCTTTTTCTAACCAAGGCTGTTGGCACAGGGACTACACATGCCGACACTAGGCCCTTGCCTCTGGATAAATCACTTCCCTGGCAGAGGCCAAGGATGAGAATCATGGGCACAATGTACAGCAGAAGAACTAATGAAAAGGAGATCCAGGTTCCCACACTCATCAGAAAGAAAGGCAAATATAAGAGATCTGTTGACAGACTATGGTGTGGAAAACTATAACCTCCCTGCAACCCAGTCTTTGGGAAGGGGGACCCAATTTTTTTTTCATATATATGAATGAGAGCCATTGATTTGACCTACATCTCCTCCTTCCACTCCTACAGCAGCATGACCTTAACTTTTTTACTCTATTCCTACATTTAATTTAATTGTTAACAAGGCCCCAAATGGGACAAATTTCAAAAAGCCTCTGGGCTGACAGATAATGCCAAAATTAAAATAGAAGACAAGATTCAACTCCCACCCTCCACCCACATAATGAAATGATCAAAGTCTGATTACTACCTTGCTAGAGAAATAAGCTTCAAACTCGGAAGAGCAAAGAAGGACACCCAAATATTTGCCCCTTCCATGGAGCATTATCTGATACTGATGTATCTGTTAGCAAGAGCATTTCAGCTCTTGTACATAAAGTTTCTGCCTCGTATCTAACTTAGCCAGTTGGCTTGTTTGGAGGACTAAGGATTCCATGCTTAGTTAAAGTTGCCCTCTATTCGGAACAGAAAGAACTAGTGCTGGTGCTGAAGAACTATCATTTGCAAAGGCAACCCATGGAACTGCAGGAAACAGATTGCTATTCTGTGAGAATGAAGAGCTTGAAAGTGAGTGCAGGTCTACAAAACAGGATCCAGGGAAGATGAAATGAGTTGCAATAATCTACATCAACACTCACCAGAGATTGGGCTCATTTTCAGGAAATCCATCAAGGAGATGGCGCTTCTCTTCCTATTTTGCATCCTTCTTGTTCTTGCTTTCAAGCCTCCTCATCTCTTGCCTTATTCATTTGGTCATTTCCAATAACTTTGCTATTTCAACTCAAACCTGGAATTTTATGGATTACTCAAAATGGCATCACCTGTTCTCCCTTCCTCCTGCCCAAGGCTAGAGCTCCCATCTTGCTACACTATTTTTTCTCCCACGTGTGGGTAGTGAAGCCGATGAATTTGTACTGGTATACATTCTGGATAAAAGAATACTATGAAAATGTTACATAGATGGTACTATACCCTTTTGCACGCAGAAGAAGTCTCACTAATTTTTTGGAAAGGGTGTGGGGTGGGGAAGGAGACCTATCTATATATATTTGGTTAGAATGTCAACGAGATAGAAGAAGGGTGCTGAATAGAGTGTTATGTGAAACATCTAAAACATAAAGCATATGATTGATTTCTGTGAAGATAGCACCATACCAGAAGAGTTGGTAAAGTAGCAAAGAAGCTTACCTACCAGATATGTATGATCAAAGGGATCACAAAACCAGAGTAATATTTTGCTGTGTGGAAGGACTTTATTTCTTACAGGGAAAAAAGAACAATGAAGCACATGCTTCAATTTGGAAAAATCAAGTGGGATCAACATTATAATTTGCAGATCTTGGTGTCTGCAACAAGGGGCTGGAAAAAGGACCTCTGTTGTTTTTAAACAAGAGATAAAATGCTATTTTGTTGTTAAACTGTTGTCCATTTAGAATTCTGCACTGGAAAGTTTCTTAAAGAAATAATAATCACTTCCTCTCAGGGGATCCTTTGAAACTGCCAAAGATCGTGTACTAAGTTATACTGTTTTAGTTTGCTTAGTGGTTATCAGCCACTTTACAGCTTTATGATCTTTCAGATTATGCCCACAAGCTGTTTAGAGATGAGATTTACACAAACAAGCCACAAACTTCCTGTTTGTTTGTCTTGGAGACTTAGGTCATATCAATCACCTTCCTTCTTTTTGTGCTTCAGTGCATATGCAGAGTTAAGAAATTATTTTCTGGTGCCATTTGTGAAAGGGATGCCCACCGCCACCCCCCCCACAATAAGCAGGAGGTACATGCTGGCTAGAACTCCATGAAAAATTACCAAGCTGAAACCTTTTGCCTGGAGAACTCAGCAAAATCAGGGGAATGTTTTGCAAAGTAGCAAATGGGATTTTAAGTTAACTCTTCTCAAAAGCGAGTCAATTACTAAGAAGAATGCTTACAAAATTTAAGGAGGGCTTTACCACACATTGAGAAGATAAAAGAAGCAAAAATCACCAGGTGCAGGAAATAATCTATTGCCAAATCGATTCCCAGCACATTTCAAACATTCATGCTCTTCCTCTTGGGAAAGTGCATGGGAGAAGATTACTTTCACATCTTAGCTCGCGCTTCCCCGCCCTTATCACAATAGGAGGATATTATGTGATGAAAGAAGCATTCCAAGAACACAGCTCTGCTGTGGCATTGCTGGCCACAAAAATGCTACCTCTATAACAAATTATTGTTTTAGTTAACTGGAAGGGGCTGCAGAGAATATTCTTGCCATCATGACCAACCCAATCTAGTACTTTTTTTTAAAGACACTTTTGTGCTTCAGTGAAGGACTTGAAGTAATTCTCTGCTCCTCAGCTATTCTCTTCTTTCCTTCTTACCTGCTCTCATGCAGGTATCCACACTGCCTTGAAGAAATGTGTATTAGCTTCCCAACTTCCCTTTCTAACTCACCCTAGCATCCACATGTCCACCCGGCACCTGCCACCCCCTCCTCTCCATTTTTGGAATTAGATCCCTCCTTCTACCACAGGGGTGAGGAACTGGTTCATGTCGGGGGGGGGGGGGAGATAGCTATCTCCCCCACCCCTCAAAGGCCAAGCATGTCAGGTGGGCATCAGACTAGCATCAGGTGACCCATTTTTGCCCACTTGGTTCTATGTCAGACTCTGCGGGTAAAAGCACAGCCCACGAAGCACCAACGATAGGCCAATCAACACTCGCAGAGTGCTAAAAATGGAGCTTCCCAAGACCTGCTGATCAGTGCACAGAGCTTTGGAGGCACTGTCAATCAGCTGACCAGCAGTGGCTGCAAATCCCATTTCAGTTGAGCTAGGTGAGTGTGGCTTGGCTGAAATGGAAGCTGCATGGTACCATTTCAGATGATTTGTCCATCTAGTTCAGTATTGTCCACATTGGATGTCAGCAGCTCTCCAAAGTTTCAGAATGGGGACATTCCTAGCCCAGCCTAGAGATGTCAGGGATTGAATGTGAGGCCTTCTCTGCATGTGAATCAGATACTATACCAACGACCAATTATCCTTATTACTGAATGAAGTGATAATCATCTATTTCAGTTCTTCCTAATGGGCACAACTAATGCGTAACTGATTGTATACACCACATATCTACATATTAAGCATGCATCCAACAATGAAATGATTAGCACTAATGCTGTGATTAATGCAAACCACCATCTAAGGATATTCAGATGTTATTCCCAACTGGCAATAATAGTAATAGAGTGGCCACATGTTCTTCCATTTGAAGGGCTGTCAAAGCCAAGTATGGGTTAAAGGCAAAAAGCCACAATAAGGGACAGCTGGTGCCATGGAAGTTGCCAGTCAGGCATCAGCAGAACAAACTGAGCAGACACACAGGTCACCTTGTTACAGTCTTCTTCCTAGCTGCGATGAGAGGTGTTGCGCTTCCATTTAAAATTATAGTCAGTATTTCCCTCTTTGTCACTAGTCTCAATAGCTAGCAGTGCGTTTTATCAGCTAGAGCTAGGGTGCCAACTATGTCCATTCATGGACAGGGATAGCCTGTTGGTGGTGATTCATGCACTTGTGACCACAATGCAATGTGATCTATGTGGGGCTACCTTTGCACCTTCATTTGGAAGCTTCACTTGGTGCAACATACTACAGTTACAGTGTTGATAGGGCCAGCCTATCACCAGCACATTGCTCTGGGGCTCAAATGCTTGCAGTGGCTGCCTATACTCTACCGGGCCAGTTTGAAGGTTCTTGTATTTACAAGGACTTTAACAACATGGGCCCAGAATATTTTAAAGACTGCCTAATCCCTTATATCCCAGCCCAATCACTTCGGACTTGGGGGAAGTCTCTGTTGGCGGTCCTCCATGGTTCATAACTACTAGATGCAGTGCATTCGGCCTAGTTGGCCCAAAAGGGTTAATAGATAAAAGAAAGAAACCAAATTATATGAAAGTACAGGCAAGCCCTTTCTTCCATAGAGATACATCACAGCCCTTAACCCAGCTCCCTTCTCCCAATCTCACACAAAATTCTGTTGGACAGGGAAAGGCTGGCAATGGTGATTCATGCAACAGAAACTTCAGGATTCCTGTACATGGCTCAGAATATACAGATGATCTCCCTGATGCTCAAGTTGAGGAGTGTCTAGTTTCCGTCTCTGCCTGCAGTCCTCACCCGATCTTCACCCTCGCCTCTAAACACAACCCCTTTCTGGAGAAAAAACCATGAAAGTTCTTCTGAGGCAACTGCAACCGATTGAAGATGAAGTTCTCTGCTATTCCAGAAGTGGACCCAGGTGGGGGGCACAACATTTTGGATGTCTCCAGCCTGCCAGTGTTTTGTGGGAGTGATTCAGCTGCCTGCCAGGACTTTAGGTTTGCACAACTGAAGTGGATTGAAAGGCCCCCATCACCCGAGCACAAGAAATCCACTTTAAAATACACAAGACTTTTTGCAGTTTGGAAAGTGTCATGGAAATATAATGAAAAGTGTGAGTTAAGTGAAAGACGTGTAAGGAAATCAGGATGAATGCAAGACGAAGGTTCATTGCTATATTACCATCCCACAAGCAAGGAAACTTCATTGCCCAACCCCAGGAGGAAGAAGAGAAAAATGAGAACTATCAAGCAATAGCCACTTACCCGAATTTTGATGATTCTCGTCTTTGTGCCACAATTCTTCTTAAACAGCATCTTCTGAAAAAGAAGCAGAATCATAGGGTAAGAGTGAGCAAATATGCAAGATATAAGCAGTGTATCTGCACAATTAATTTGGGTGTTAAATAATGCTGCAGTGCTAAAGTGAGTTGGAAGTTCAAACAAACATTTAAGAACCACTACTGAGGCCCATGGTACCAAATGGGGTTTTCTTCCTATTAATAGGTGGTGGCATCCAATCAGAACAAAGGCTTTTAAAAAATCCTCCCCCTCTTTCTTATGGGGCTTGGTGGGGGCACACTGGCTATTTTATTCTGCTTTTTAATGAGTTTTGCAACAGCAAAGGTAAAGGTAAAGGTACCCCTGCCCGTACGGGCTAGTCTTGCCAGACTCTAGGGTTGTGTGCTCATCTCACTCTATAGGCCGGGAGCCAGCGCTGTCTGCAGACACTTCCAGGTCACGTGGCCAGCGTGACATCGCTGCTCTGGCGAGCCAGCGCAGCACACGGAAACGCCGTTTACCTTCCCGCTGGTAAGCGGTCCCTATTTATCTACTTGCTCCCGGGGGTGCTTTCGAACTGCTAGGTTGGCAGGCGCTGGGACTGAACGATGGGAGCGCACCCCGCCGCGGGGATTCGAACCGCCGACCATACGATCGGCAAGTCCTAGGCACTGAGGTTTTACCCACAGCGCCACCCGCGTCCGCAACAGCAAACCAGCCCTTAAATACTTTGCTCTTAAAGGAAGTTCCTGTTTTCAGAGCAACTGCAGGGCAGGCAGTCATTCCACAGGACGAACTTGCATCACTGCTAAATCTGATGGGGGTGAGTTGGGGAGAGAATGCATTTGCTTAATTTCTCCTAGCCATTAACTGTAAGAGGCACAAAGGTTAAGAACCTTGCTTGAGAGTTTCTGAGAAACCTCCTAACAGAGAGTTATGGAACAGCAGGCCACCAGGGACAGGTCCCTTCATTACCAGCCAACAGTGGTGTCTTTACGAGAGATTAAGCTACAATTTCCATTTTCATAATCTGGAGGTGGACTGGAATAAAGATGGGTTCTTCAAAGAGTCAAAAATAAGACAATCCCCAAAAATATGCAATCTCTGTGTATATATAAAGCAGGGGTCAATATGGCACTCTCCAGAAATTGCTTGATTACAACTCACATTATCCCTGACCATCAGCCATGCTGGCTGAGGCCAATGGAAGTTGTGGTCCATCAACACTTTGAGGGCGCCATGTTGTTATAGAAACTGCATGACATGTACTAGGCTCACAAATGCAGCTTCTCCCATAAGAGTGATGCACAGGGCCTGGAAAGCACCTGATCTGTACCTTCAATGCCCACCACCCAGAGGCACGACACATTTTAAAAGTGTATTAAAAACTGACATATAGGGTAACTGTATTGGTTTCTCCCAAAGAATCCCTGAGAATTTTACTTGGGCAAATGCTGATATTTTTTAACCTAAGGGCTGAACAAGCACCATGGATACTCGAGGCACAGATTGTTCCTTCCCTAGAGCAGGGAACTTGTCTGTTTGATCTGTGGAACCCTAAATGCAGTGTTAATTTGTCTTTTTCATTCTTTGGGACCAACAGAACTGCAAGTTCCACTATTGTGAAGTATTCTAATGTAACTTTTGGAACAGCATAATGGGCTGCAAGTGAAACTGAGATGTATTTAAAACGATGGACACCGATTCTGCAGTGCTGCAATGTGTGAGTAAAATACAGAGCTTGTGGTTATGTTGATCCCATAATGAGAAAGAGAAAAGAAACTCGAGAGATACAAGAAGGGACCAGCAAAACCGCAAACTCTGCTATTAAGAGGTTAACCTACATCTGTCTTTTACCCACACGTTGCCTCTGCTCAGTGTAGCATTACAGAAACAATGAATATATATCCTTTTCAGTTTTATTCTGAGCCCATTACAAAATGGCAGCCCTATTCCAAAAGTGACATCATAACATTTCAGCATGAAACAGAACAGTTTAGTACTGTTCAGCAAAACACTCCAGTACAAATGAGATCCTTCAGAAGCGGCACGCCCAAAACATCCCTACCCAATTAGGATCAAAGCGAGCTGAGCACAAGAGAAAACTCCACAGCCAGAAACCATCAAGTTGTCAAAAGACTCTACTTCAAACTTAAGCAATTCAGCGTTCAGAAGTCTCTTTAATTAGAGGTCTGATCAAGCAAGATTTCTCGAACCAAAACAACAACACTGACAGCCAGAAATGCGAACCACCCAGTATGAATCCCATATTGCATTGCAAAACCAATTATCAGTGTGAACCAAATTAACGAGCATTTGGAACTTTGCCCATCAGTTCTCAAACTTATATCAAGTTATTACCTTAGCAGTGTTCTAAAAGACAGGGAAGGGTAGATGACAGATTATGGCTCACGAGGCAGTTTCCAGTAAACCACTTACTACTAGCACAAAACATGCGCTCTACCAGTTAGCTCCACCTCCTGATCACCCAATGGAGCCTCTCTCCACAAACTCACCAAAACATAGCTTGCTCCTGGACACAAGCAGGACTGCCAGCTTAATACATCCTTGGCTCTTGTGCCCTTAACAGCAGCTTAATGTGTATGTACAAGCGGCAAATGATAATCCCTCTTGCCATATCGTGCAGTGTTTCACCTACTGATTTTTGCAAATTAAACTTATGTGAAAGGCACTGGAGCAAGAACACAGTGGCTTCTCCCCCCTCATCCCAACTTGAGTTCCAAGCCTGTGGGCTAAATTTGTCCCCAGAGCTTCCAGCACTAGAAGGGGTTCCCAGGCAAAATACGCCAAGCGGTTGGAGTGCTGTCCCAACCCATGCATGCAACCAGCCAACTTTGAACATAATTTTCCTGGAAATGCCTGTATAAAACAAACTCGGGCTTTGTTTCCAGTGCTGCTGTGAAAAGTATCATCAAGCTGGTATTTACTGGGCAAGCTCAGCGAAAGGAGGGGTTTGTGGGCACAGAGAGCAGGGGCAGAGGCCCTAGTGTAATAAACAAACAAATAAATAAATAAATAAATAAATTTATTATTTATACCCTGCCCATCTGGCTGGGTTTCCCCAGCTACTCTGGGCGGCTTACAGCACATAAAAAATTGTTGTGTGTGTGTTTATATCTATATGTCTATGTAGTGTACACACACACACACACACACACACACATAGTGGAAAGGCAGGTGATTATACAGAATGGAAGAAACTTGACGTTGGCATGTACTGTCTATAGCTGTTCGATGTAAATAAATAAAAACCTCCCTCAGTATTAATTCGACGAGATTCTGAAGAGTCGGAAGCAGATTTCCCCTTACAAAAATGCCAGGACTAATACTATCATCGGGAGAAAAGGTCATCAGGTTTACAATATTTTTTTTCTCCTTGCCACAAAACCACGGGCTTGTGTTGAAATTCCCCGGATGAGAAGGCAATTTTGTCACTCAAGGGCAAGGCCCAGCTCTCACTCCTGCTTGGCATCTCAAACTCCAGGTGGACACCAGAGGCCTAGGCGATGGGGAGAGAGAAACACCTGCATGGCAGTTTCAAGCGTGGGACTCTGAAAGCAAGACAAAATGTTGCTTTTTTGAGAGGTGTGTGTGTGTGTGGGAGAGAGAGAGAGAGAGAGAGAGAGAGAGAGAGAGAGAGAGAGAGAGAGGAAACAGCTGCTGGGATCCCTTTACTCGCTCTTGAATGGAGCTCATCAAGCAGCAGCTTCTTCCTCCAGCACCTGGCCTTTGGGTCAGTGTCTAAGGGAGACAGCATTGCCAAAAGGTGTGTGTGTTTCAACAGAGGTGAGGGGGAAGAGCCAATAAACAACTCTTGCAGCTTTTCAGTTTAGAAAACAGACGAGTAAGTGGGGATATGATAGAGCGGGAAGGGGATGTTCTGCCCCTCTCTGGAACTCAGGGTCATCCAATGAAGCTAATCCACCAACATGGATGTCATTAGATGAGGTGACAAATTCAAGGCTATCTATAGCCATTAGCCACAATGGCTATGTTCTGCGTCCACGGCTGGAGCCAGTGGCCGAGACTCACAAGTGGGGATTGCTTGGGGGCTTCCCACAGTCATCTGGTTGGCCACTGCGAGAACAGGATACCGGGCTTTTGGTCTGATCCAGCAGAGCTCTTCTTGTGTTCTTATCCACAAATTCTTGTGTGCAACAGCATGATGCACACTGCCTAGGGTTGCGGTATCTCCAAGTCCCTCAGATCTGGGCAGGTTTTAGGCACATTGCTTTCTACTCGATGCAAATCAACTTGCTACCCAAATTAGCACATATGCTCTCTTTTTCTCATCTGAGCAATAAACCAATCTTTCCTACTTCCTGGTGTGATGTGTTCTTTACCAGCTATGAAGGTGAATTTGGGTGCATTTATTTTAAATGGGCACAAGTTCCGACACGTTTCCATTCCTCTCAGGGTGTAGGTTGGATTCATTTGCATGGTGGACATGTATGTGGATTCTGACATATACCGCCTAAAATTCTGCTGTTATCACTGCTTCAACTCCATTTGCCAAACTCACTGTTAGCATTTACATTAATTAACTGGCTTATAATTTACCCAGAGAGTATGATCTTTACAAGACTTAGGAGAAACAGAAATATATGCATCATACTTTGAACTTGACATTTGGCCCCTGCAATTTCCCAATCTTCATTATATAAACGGCATTCTTAATTTCTTCCATCTGTAATGGTTTTGCAAGAATTTCCTTTTGCTGTGTATTTAAGATGTAGGAGAACCAACTGGGGGAAAAAATGCTTTCGAAGTCACACACCATGTAGGATCATTATCCTTCCTATGTAATTTGGAGTAATACTTCTGAAACTCTGAATTTATTTCATTTGGTACTGAACAGGCCGTATTACACTCACCTATAACCAACAACATATCGTTCTGACTTTTAAAAAATGAAAAGTCCATTATCTGATCCAGTCTCTCACCCCTTTCCCAATATATTTGGTGCATACATGTAAATCCAAATTCTGCCCTAATTTAATTCATAATTAGCGTGTTGC